TGCTCGAACACGCATTTATTTGGATTGATTGCTATGCCATGCTGTTGAAATCTATCGAACAGAATCTTTAAGTACTCCTTATGCTGAGTTTCGTTCTACGAAGCGATTAAAATATCATCGATGTAAGTGAAACAGAAATCAAGTTACCTACGATTACCTGGTCCATGAAAGTTTATGCTGCATTACGGAATCTGAATGTCATGTAAGGGAATTCGAAAAGTCCGAACGGTGTGATAATGGCGGTTTTCGGAATATCCGATTCGCGGATTGGAATCTGTTGGTATGCACGCACTAGGTCTATTGTGGAAAATACGGTTTTACCATGCACTGCGTGCTGTCTTGCAGGAATCGAATAACGGTCCGGCAAGAGCAATGGTTACCTCGTTGAGTTTGCGGTAATCCCCGCACGGGCGCCAGTCGCTATTCTTCTTCTGCACAAGATGTAGTGGACTGGCCCAAGGGCTCTTGAAAGGTCTGCATAAGCCTTGTTGTATAATGTACTCAAATTCTTGAGTCGTCTGGCTTTGTTTGACACAAGAGGACCCATTGTTTCGATTACATGTTCCACTGTGTGCAGTTTGTTTGATCGACGTAGTTATCTCAAGGAACTTGCCTAGAATCTCTTTGAATGGACAGTCGTCGCAAACGCTGTTAACCGGAATAGCTTTGCTGGGCACGAGACAAGAGACTTTAAAAAACGTATTGCCGTCAATTAAGCGCTTGTGCCGTATGTCAGGCAGCAAGTTAAAATGTACTAGAAAATCCGAGGGGAATGTTGTTACCCCAGTCAAGCTGGAGTAACTTTTGTCCATACGTAGGGATAATTGTTCGGTTTACGGCGTAGAGTATTTGTTTGCAATATGAGTACGGTCGCGTCTTGAAACAGGAATGGTCGAGATATTCGCTCCGGTATCCACCAGAAATTTGATGCCGGTGACACGGTCCCTGACTATCAGACGGCGAGTTGCCGCGGCTAAACTATCTGCCGTCGGGGAGTTCAGCTTCTAGTTTTCCTGTTACGTTGGCTTCCAACTGCAGGGTTGCGTACACTTGACGGCTTTTCCGCCAAAACGTCGATGATACTAGCACGGCTTGCTCTCCGATTGTGACCTTGAACGGTTTCTGCGACGAAGATTCCGCGAGGCCCGTGATCTGTCGCGCGATAAACGAATTTCCAATCTCTCCATTCGATGTAGAAGCGCGGATATTTGCGAATCTACTAAATTAGCTTTTGTCGGTGTAACCGCTGCGACGGCGTTAACGTCAGTGGATAGCATGTCTGTTATTCGGTCCGCTAGTTGCGATAGCTTTTCGAGTTCGTGCTTGCTAGCCGTTAGTATAGCCTGCCCTTGTTGCGGTAGGCGCTGCAGCCATAAAGATTTGAGCACTTCTTCTGACACGCCATTTTTGCGCGAGATCTCGCATCCGACGGAGCAATTGCAACGGACGGCGGTTACCTAGATCAACCTCGTTTAATAACCTACGCAGTTTCTTTTCGGCGCTATCCGCGAAGCTTTTTAGTAATCTATCTTTGAGCGCGGCGTATCTATTCATCGCAGGCGGATTGAGTACGATATCGCTAACTTCGATCAAAGAATCATCGTCAAGGCACTGTATCACATAATTGTATCTCGTCTCATCTACAGTTATGCCCGCGATAAGGAATTGAGCTTTCATTTGTACGAACCAGAGGTCTGGCTTCGACTTCCAAAACGGCATGGATCTAATTTCGACTCGCGTAAGCGCACTATACGCACACTACACGCGACGATGCACCGCTGTCCTGATTGCCCGAAGGAAGATTGCTTGAGCCACTAGCCATGTCAGCGGCTTGTTAAGACGCGCGCGTGAGATGAAACGCGTAAGGTTAAACGCGCGTGAGAATCACGCACAATCATCACGCTACGCAATCACGTCGGGGTTATCAGTTTGTGGCTATTGGTGCGGCTATTGTCCCCAATATGGCGCCGAGAGTCTGGGCGCTGGCGATGACCAACTAACGGCGAAGGACAATTGGCGGGAAATCGTTAGGTTGCGAATGAATGCTACTCGCTGATTCTGACTTTTATGCCATAAGGCGATTTAATACAAACTTGACTAATTATTTAACAAATATAGATTACAAAAATAGAGACGTGCGTAAGACGGCTCGGATACCGGTATTGCGTTGCTAGGTTAGAATACAGGAAATTAAGAAAATATATGCTGAGTATTTATTCGACGACGCTAACAATTATCGATAATCGGTATCGATCTCGCAGTGAACACAAAGTGTAATTCGGAGCCCTAACTTCCGAGTTTTAACTTACTAACTATCGCAGAGGCTTACACGAGGTCCGCACGCAGTACGCCATGACACCAGAGAGAGCGAAAGAAGGAAGAGCCGGAAAGAAGGACCAACTTCAGCGCCGCGACGAACGTTCGCAGCGCCGCAGCCAACGCTCGCAACGCCACAATGACATCGCGATCAACGCCATCAGTTGGCGGCGAATTAGCACGACAAATAGCCACTTAAGTACCAGTCGTCTATGTGTCACACAAATTGATGGTGTTGATCGCGATGTCATAAATCGTCCATAGATTTATAGAAGATTGCACACACCATTTTATCCCTTCCATCATGAGACTACCTGCCAAAACACGACAATTGACAACTCTTTCATTTCGCTTTTCATGCGCCAAGAGACTGCGAGTAATGGGCGTGCACTTGAATGGCGGCAATTGAATCTTATTACAGTTGCTCTTATTCGAGGATCTTTAATAAAGTGAAAATTGCAAAACAGTACAAATTTTTGAATCAATTAAGTCCACTCTACATTCACGAGAGGTGAAATGGTTATTCTGGAACACTGACTGAATTATTGGGAGTACAAATTAGTTCGGTCCATTTTTCAAAAGATGGCTCCAGCTGTTGTGAATGTGTGGCTATTGGAGCGAGTGCTGTGCAATATGGTGAGTGTTACTCACTGCTTCTGATTTTTATGTCATAAGGCGATTTAATACAAACTTAATATTAAACTAACTAAATACTAAATACAAATGTAGATTAGAAAATAGAGACGTGATTGCGCGTGTAAGACGGCTCGGATACCGGCATCGTGTCGCGGAG